TCCCCCCGTGTCATGGCGACTGAGTTGCGTCGCCACCCTCGGAAAAAATTAGTAAGTAGTCGATAAATAATAGCCAAAACTCCATAAAGGGCAAATTCGGATATGAACAACAACTTAAGACGTGCATCCGTAAACGACGACGTATTCAATAGTCGTGCTTCATCCAGAAGTTCAGTACTATTCTCTCGCTTTGTCAAATGAGTCGATAGACCATAGTTAGCGATGAGGAATTGAGTATTTTCCTCCACTGTCGTATTCTGATACAGTCAAGGCATTAATACCAGACTTTGTAAGTAAAATTATGGATCCTATTCTAGTGAATAAGAAAATTAAGATTACTGAATGGGCTAAGTTTCATTTTAACGACGGATACGTCAGCCATGACCTAGCCAAGGTAGACTTTACCAAGCTGAAGTGTCCATCGAGAAATTATGTACCTTGGAGACACGAAGCGGTGGTAAAATAACAAGTAGAGAGATGGTTAGCAGATGGAGTGATAGAAATCAACTATCAACAAACGCAAGTCACTTGGCGTTGCTCGATGTTTACAAGCATAACTTGGACGGTTCATTTAAGAAAGTCAGAGTGTGTTTAGATATGAGTCCAATAAATAAGTTTAATATTACCTACTCATAGCTTTCACTCTTTCTATAAACGAGTCACTAGAATGGAAGGGGCTACAGTGTTTACCACTATAGACCTAACGCAAAGTTATCATCAAATGCAGATATATGAACTCCACCGTAAATACTTTAGTTTTACGTGGAAAGGTATTCAATACCGATTTAAAGGAGCACCTTTCGGACTGTATTCTTTACCAGCATTCTTCCAACAAGTAATGGAAGAGATTTTTGTAAGCATTTCTAAAGTGCAGGTCTATATAGATGATATAGTCATCTTTTCGAAGCCTAAGGGCGAACACGCCGCATTAGTAAGACGAGTCCTTCAGCAATTCAATGAACAAAACTTCAAGATAAACGAGAAGAAATGTCACTTTGCAATGAGGTAAATACAGCTTCTAGGCTACCGTATATCAGAGGAAGATATTAAAATCGACCCCGGGAAAGTAGAACGCCTTTTAGATTGGCGAACGCCAACTACAGGTAGAGACGTAAATAGCATGTATGGATTTCGTAAACTTCTTCTCTGATGGAGTACCACACTTAGCGGAATACCTTAAACCATTTGGGCACTTGACATGTCACAAAGGCAAACTAGGAGACTTTTGGACAAAGTGATGTTTTTAAGGCGCTCAAATACGCAGTATAGCTTGCCATTCAAAATAGCAACAGACGCTTCTGACTTAGCACATGGGAGTATTATATCAGGTTATAGATAATAAACCTAGATATATACAATTCTTTAATCGAGCTTTGAATGCATCACAGTTCAATTATTCAACTGTTAAACATGAGCTACTAGCTAAAGCAGCAGCACTCACACATTTCCGAGTTTAGCTATACGGAACAGCATTTACGCAGATGTATGATCAGGGATCTCTTCAATATATGAAGGAGATGAAGCCAGATTTCAACTACTGAGTAGATGGCATGACATAATATTAAAGTTTCGTTTTAATATCAAACATATACCAGGAATACATAACCATTTACCGGATATGATATCCCGCTTCGTACCAGACTTTGATAAGTCAGTACGTGAATTATTAGCCACCGATTGGAAATGTAATCCAAGGTGCTTTGACCTGGCACAGAATATATTTGGGCCACATGCAATTGACATGTTTGCTGCACATCACAGTGCACAACTTAAAGATTATAGGACGCTAAATCATCCTTGAGGAGATGCCTTTCAAATAGACCTCTCCAAGCATAACGCGTGGGCTATTCCACCTTGGTGGTTAATTGCCCAACTATTAAATTACCTTCTATACATAAAGCTATTATCACGGTGCGTTGCGCACTGCGGAAATTTGATCCGTGGCTTAAGAAATTAATAAGTGTGATACAATGCGAGCTAATATATTTAGATAGAGAAGTTGATACTTTTCTCTATCAGGGTACCCGATCAGTCCAAAAGACGCCCTGGAGACATACTAGAATATGTCGTATATGTCCTATTGGAACAACCAAATGGACCCCATCTGAGACCTTCCTTAAAAGGTCGAAGAATAGGAGATTCCATTGTCCACTAGATTGAACGTTAAGCAGTTCAAGAGCAATGTAGCACGTGAAGTCTGTGCGCAAGAAATGTAATCATTATTGACACTACAGTTAAGAAACGTCAATCACTAGCTCGAACTTTATTTAAAAATATACAGGCCAAGCCCGTTCAGACATTCTTTCTAAAGGGTTTAATGAAAGATAATCCCGAAGTATATACACACATAATGCGACTAGTGGTTAAGTCAAGTGTGGCAAATGTATACGAGCACACTAAAGCTGAGCAATCAACAGAAGGACAGGAGTCTGGAAACACTACAGACTTAGAGAACACGCAAGTAGAAACCCAACACCCAACCTTTATTCTGGAAGTGTAGAATGATGATAACATTCTCGCTTGGCTGACACATAATCACAAGCTGAAGCACCAGAACGTAAATATGCTAAGCACTTAAATATGCTAAGCAAAATGCAATATTGCACCTTAAGTTGTAAATAAATTAAAATAGCCCCAAATCATACATATATTGTACAATACATACCACTGATTTGCTATTTAGAACCACCCTTATGAAACTGCACGAAATTCACTTCCTGTATATTACATAAAAAACTCTGTGTCAATTCCACGGTTACTAACACTATAGTAGCCCACTCGAACTGAAGAGTTACTAGAAGTGTCAGCTCAGGAACAAGTCGATTTATGAATACCTTGTGATGAAAAATACTCATCCAGCTATTCATTTTGTTTTGAGCAGACATCGACACGGAGACCTGATTGTTCTGACTTCAGCACATCTAGGATCGACTCTCCAAGGAACAGATCAACAATTGCAACTATATCACAACTCATTTTTAGAATATACGCTTTATTGAAATTTCAATCGATCTTTAGATCTTTTACCAGACACAGAACCGCCGCTGCCAATTTATCGTAGTCATGCCTCGTATTGTAGCAGTGCGAAGATATCCGAACATAAAGCTGACCATCGATGAACTTCACCGGACATTCGATTTGGAATCTGAAGTGCATGGCGTCCTGTACCGCGTTCCCGTCTATATCACTGAGCTTGCGATCTGCTACGCAATAAGTATTGTATTGTATAAATTGACTAGATGAAACACAGTGCCTACCAGTCCCAGTCAGTATTTCCAATCGGATGTCATCATGGTTTCTCTAATACAAAAGTCGTTCAGATTTAAGTAATGCTATACCAAGTTACAGGAATGATTCGCACAGACAAGTTGTCAATGCCGTGAATAATTTCTTCGATTTCATGAAACAGAGCAAAGAAATATTCAATTGAAGTACAGTAAACTAGAATTGCAGACGAGCCCTAGCGATATGGGTAGATACCTAAAGTTGGAATTTGGATTAGTGCCATCAAACCGGACATCTCCAAAGGGACAAGCGTCTGCGATTTCCACTTTTGAGCCAGAGATGTGGCTGTAGTGTGGAGGTGGGAGGGGAGATAGAATACCCCGAAGGAAGTATTACAACTGAGAGAACAAGTCTTCGACCATGAGAACACTCAAGTTCAACCAATAATCCGTACCCCTCCCCATCTACAATCGATTAGCCCGGCTAGAATGTAATGTTTTACTAAGCCGAACAGGGATACTTTAAAACCTGAAAGTGATCAGAGCTTATGCCGGAGAAGGGTATTCACATATACATATTATCCCACATGGAGATAGATACGAATACGAGTATATACAGACCTGTAATAAGTGGTTTCAAAGAGCTACCTTAATGAGTACAACTAGAGGCGTACTCACACGTATTTATATACATACATACATATATATATATATATAAATATATATATATACATATATATATAGTATT